CCCGCGTACCCGTCCAAAAACCCTCCCATTCCGTGCGGCCGGGTTCGTTGAGGTGGACATGAGCATCTACGAGACCAGGCAACAGGAGCTTTGAGCCGTAGTTGATGTACTCAGTGGAGGCCGGGAAGGAGGTCTTTGGCAGGACTGCCGGGACGATGTTGACGATCTTTCCGGTGGCGGGCGAGACTGTTATCGTTGCGGGTGTGAGAACGAGGTTGTCTTGTTCAAAGGTGAGGACTGCCCGCGTCGAGACAAGGACCACGAGGGGTGTGGTGGTATCTTGAGAGGCCGTCATGATGAAGAGTGATGGAGGGGTTGCTTATGATAAGCTTATCTTGGAAGCTTGGGGAGGTCCGATAAGGGAAATACCGCGGTATCTGAAGAGCTCTCCCCGCGGTGGACGTTCTTGGATAGCTTGCAGTTGCGTCTGGAGAAGAGCGAAGCTTATCTTGATCGCGGGGTGGCGGGGTGATGAGAGAGATAAGATATGGCCGGTGTGGCTTTCAAGGGTTTGAAGGTGTGTAAGATGTTTGGGTGGTCTTAGTGAGGACTACCTAGATAAACACTCAAGCAAAAAGTGAATGGTCTCGTGTAGTGGTTTTGAATTACTATGAGTCCCAAGAAAGGCAATGTGGTGATAATTCAAGGAGAAGTTGACTCGAGAAAAGAAGAGAGAAAAGAAGAAGGGGAGAAAGGAGAAGAACAGCTCCCCCCGTCCGAATCTCACTCAGAAGAAAGCCGTTCGTGGCTCGGTCCACGGCCCACCCCGAGAGTCCAGACGTGATTAGGACGGGTCCCCTTCCATTCGTTCTTCTGGGCTTCCATTTCCAGTTCTTCTCTCCGATAAGATAACGTTCTCTGAGGTGACAGGAAGAATATGTGACAAAGGGGGAACACGGGAGTTCAAGGGACCAGCCACTGAGCCAATCCCAACGAGGAAAAGACCCTCCTCAAGCAGTCTTCAGAGTAAGGTACATAGTAAGGTAAGGTAGCTTAGCCCTCTCCCACCGCCATCTCCTTCTCCTTCGGGCCCCGGTGCCGGGGGGGGGGGGTCTTCTACCCCGTCATCGACCTTCTTCAAGTCGACTCAAAGCCCGCTCACCTCAAGGCTCAACCTGCGCTCCAATAGTGACCATTGAACCCCGTGCCGCCGGCCTCTGCTTTCTGCAACTGGGGTTCGTGTCCGTCGTGTGGGGGGCGTTATCGAAACCCTTCTCCCACTGGGCTACGTAGTACTTTGCTTAAGGGACCCTACCTATCGAACAATCTCGACGCGACCCCGGGGAACCCTGAAAGAAGTCCAAAGTCTTCCCTTGTCGTTATCAGCCGCAGCTGATTGGCTGGATGTGTCGTCGGACACAGCCGTTTCCCGATCTAGACCGCCTTAGTCATCACAGGTTCAGCGAATGAGGAAAAGCATGTGCTGCTCTAAATGCCTCTGCTCTGTACCTTGAGTCTTTGACACTGACAATCCACCACAAATGTACAAACAAAGCCCATCACCGTTCTTGACTCTTCATCGGCCATTTTCGGGAACATCGAAGGCTTAATTTTCTCGGTTTCCATATGGCTCTGGTTTGCCCTTCTGACAGGTCCAGAGCCTTGACTCCCCCTGCCTTGGTCCTGCGTCGGTGTGCTTATTACTTCGGGCTCCACTGCCGCTGCTGCACCCGAGGCGTCGTCTAAGCTTCACTTGGGAGTTTCGATCGAGTAATGATCGAGTAAAACACCGCTCATTTGGGGCATCTGGCCCGCCAATGTTATGCGCCTCGCGAGTCCCGGGAACTCTAGTTTCTTGATTTTTTTTTCTCTTTCGTCAAGACATTTTCCGGCCATGGCGCGTATTACTACCAATTTGAATTTGGTGACAACCCATCTTCTCCATCTGCCATTGGCCAGCAGTTTGGTATTACTCGATGACATCGCGATAAAGGCAGTAGAAAAAGTCCGCTTTCCATTGTGTCCCAATCTTGGCTACCGATACTGGACAACGAATGAAAGATGAGAGAAAAAAGATCCACACACCCGGCGCCGCCGTGACACAGCCGCCGCCCCCCGTGGAGTTCCTAGAAGACCGAGTCATCTCCAACCGAGGAATGTCTCATTTGTTGGGATGAGCGATCCCGGCCCCGACAGCCGGCTCCCTTTCTTCCGATCACACCATTCATCCGTTTACCAACCTCCGGGAAACCATCCCTATAGCCATACTTCGTTTCCGGAACGTCCAGCGGCTATTGCAGCCACGCATGGTTTGTTTGAACCGTGCTTTGACGTGTTTGCGATTATGAAATCTTGTTTTCCGGATGGAAGTCTAGACGAATTGCTAGGTTGCCGCCTTTCTCAGAACAAGCAGGCTGCGCCAGAGTTCAGCGAGCATCGGATCGGGCCTTGACTATTATCGTATAAGCTTTGCAGGTCCCTGTCCGACCCATGCATGCATCTCATCACAGTGCCGTCTTCTACCACGCTGCGTCTAGAAGGGAGCATCTAGAAGCGATCCAGCAACGTAATGGAAACCGCTTCTCCACGGAGCTCGCCGGTTTCTCTCTTCTGGACCCTGCCGTCACGACTGCCGTCTAGACCTCACCGAATTCTGATCGAGTAAGAGTTTCCCATCTTCCCCAATCAGGTGAAGGTCGTTGGCGTTCCATTCAGCAGGCTGTCCTGCACAGGATCATCATCTTTCCCTTCAGCAAATCATCCCTTGCGCACGTATGCCGAACCCCGTTTGCGTAATCGAAAAAAAGGGAAGTTGTCTGTGGTATTGCACTCAAGTCCTGTGCCATCTCTAACCCGATGATATTCCCCCCTTGGCCTCACGCCGCGCCGTCTAGATGTATAATATCGTTACATGTACTCTGTCAAGAGCCCCAAAGGTCTGTTGTACAGTGGTGTTGAGCGCACATTACCACAATGCGTGCACTCCGGATTTTTGGTTTTTTTTGTACAGGTTTCTGATCGGCCAGCGCGTCAGTCGCTTATTTTGTCCTCTTCAATGCCTTCATGGCCATTTCGATGAGACCATCCTTGGCCTCACTCTCGGGGAATTCGCTGATGGCTGCAATGGCCCGCTCGGAATAATCCTGGGCCAGTGCCCTCGTCTGCTCAATACCGTCGCTCTTGAGGACCAACTCGCGTGCCTGAAACCGTGTTAGTCAGATCGTTCCCCAAATCCAAAAGTCTTTTGCTGCGTGCGCGCATCCTTACCCTGGCGACGTCACCCTCCTGCTCGAACTTCCTGCCTACCAAAGCACCCAATTCCGGATTCGTCTTCCACGCAAATAGTAGAGGGGCCGTCGCGAGACCAAGCTCAAGGTCGGCGCCGGCCGGCTTACCCAGTTCCTTCTCGCTACGTGTATAGTCGAGCATGTCGTCGACCAGCTGGAATGCGAGGCCTAGGTTTTTACCATAGGCGTATGCTGCCTCGACTGAAGCAGCGTCTGACCCGCCGAGAATTGCCGAGGCACGGCATGACTTTGAGATCAAGCTAGCCGTCTTCAAGTAGGTCTTTTGCAAGTAGTAGGTGAGCGCCTCCTCCGACCATACTGGCTTACGCTCATCCCGCTCAGTGTTCTTGAGCTGCATGAACTCGCCCTCGACAAGGTTGGCAATGACCGTGGCGAGAAGCTCAACGACCTCGGCGTTCCTCAGACGGGCCAGAGCGACAGATGCGCGGCCTAGCAGGAAGTCGCCGGCCAAGACAGCCATTTTGTTGCCGAACTCGAGGTTCGCCGAAGGGGATCCGCGTCGCGCGACGGAGTGATCGATGACATCGTCGTGGAGCAGGGATGCCGTGTGGATCAGCTCGGTGATCTCGGCCAGACGGCGTTGGGACGGGAGGATGTCAGATTCGGTCTCGACAGGCTCGGGGGCGGCGCTTGTCAAGGGCGAGCTCGGGTTGACGTCGACGAGGATGTTCGGGGGAGATATCGCCGTATCAACGCTACCAATGGCTTGACCAGATTGGAGCCGGGGACCCTTGGGACATAAGGCGGTGGCTCTCGACATGAGCAGAACGATGAGAGGACGCATGTGCTTGCCCTCTGCCTGTGTGTAGTACTTGGCGGCGCGATCCAGAGACGGGTGACCAGAACCAAGAAGCTTCCGGATGTTGCCCGTCAAGAACTTCATCTCCTTGGCCACTGTCCGCAGAGGGTCGATGTGCATGTCACCCTTGGGGATCACGCGGTTGACGGCATTCGCAGCCATGTTGGACGCAACAGACACAGCGGCGCCCCATGCTGAAGACCGTCTCGAGGATGAGTGGTAGAGGGCAGTGGTATGAGGTATCCGGGCATCGAGGGGAGTAATGCGTCGGCATTGCGAACATCGGGAGGAAGAGGAGGAGAGGATAGATCGTGACGTTATCGAAGTGCTGCGCAGCACCGCTGCTCCCGTACGGAGCTGCATGGCTCCTATAGTGATCTGGAGGGAATCAAAAGAGTGTCAAAAGAATCGCGAAAGAGTCCGACAGCATCTGGATTAAGTAGATCGTGCTCAAGATTCGTGGTTGAGGCAATTGGCAGCCAAAGGCGGGTAGATGGTACAAGGCGATGACTTTTTTTTTCCTGTCCTTCCCTCCCGCGGCGAGAAATTCAAGCCACAGCAGCTGCGCAGCAGATCCGGTCTTTCCCTTTGGTGGTACGGAGTACGGATACTCCTGTGCTCCCCTTACCTAAGGCAGGGGGAAAAGCGGACCCAGGCGATACGTATCTTTGGAGAAGAATGGTGGGGCCCTGGTCTTTTGATTGGTTCAATGGCCCATAACTTGAGCTTCCATTGGAGCAGGAGCTATCATACGCAGTAAGCTGCTGTGGCTGCCTCGGTCGTCGTCGTTGCATCGAGTGTGGCAGGCACGACCCGACGCCCGCATTATTACCCCGATTTGACCGCGTCTGACCAAATTAGTTGTTGGCACTGCATGTCTTGAAGTATCACCAAGTTACGAGCACATCGCTTCGAGATGACCTCGTAGAGGCGACACAATCACATCAGCAGCCATGGTACGATTGACGATAACACCCGCCTTAGCCGAAGGTCAACAGAAGCTGGCTGAGGTCAGATTCGGACGGCGAATCGCGGCGACACCAGAGGACACAGAGCAGGAAACCACAGCAGGTACTGTCAGCAAGACTGCGGCGACAGCCAAAGCCGAAGAGCCGACTCTTGGCGATTATGTGATCGGAGACCCCATCACGCACAACCAGATATTAGATTTGTGGAAAAGTCTGAAGACGGAAGGCATCGAGGGATTCGGTTTGGAGGGACTGTTGCGAGGCGCCAGGGTCTACACACCCCCGCCACCTCCGAAGCCTGAACCAGTACGTCAAGACGGCCAACTCTAAGTCTGCTCCGAGTCGCTGACCATACCTTCACAGTCCGCCGAGTACAAAGCCCTGATGGCCCGCCTGCGACGCGAGGAAGAAGAACGAACATACCAGCGAATGATGAAGCAACCGTCCCGAATGGAGGCCTTTTCCCAGCAGTTTCCCAGCGCCGCTGCCCGAGCACACGCCTTTGCCGAAGTAAACCGCCCTATGAACGAAGCAGACAATGGCGATGACGAAGTGACGCTCGGGGACGTGCAGAAGCAGATGATGGTCATTCTCAACTTTCTTATAAGCATCATTGGTGTCGCGGCCACCATCTGGATAGCAGCTCGATGGTGGAATGTCACTGCTCGAATATTCTTGACGCTTGGAGGCGCCATTCTAGTCTTAATAGCAGAGGTCGCCGTGTACTCGGGCTATGTTTGGAGGATAGGGGAGGCCAAGTCCAAGACGAAAGAACCGGAAGAAATCAGAGAGGTGATGCAGTCATGGGTGCTTGGTAAGGAGAGCAAGGGCGGGCCAGCCGGAGAATCGACTATCCTTCTTGATACGAAATCGCAAGATACAGACGAAGGCATACGGCGAAGACTAAAGGGGCTCTCGTAGGTCTCGTAGGAAGTAGAATTTACGAAATGAAAAGATATTGGCAGCATCATTTGCAACGTTAAGAGGTGCCGACAAACCGCTGCAAGGCGTGCTGTTGCGACATCCCCATGTAAGGCCAGAGAATGTCCTAAAACGGCCTTTGTAGGTTATTACCAATTGCCCAGGATTCTAGAACCATGTTTGTCAAAATTGGGTAGTACTCTGTCGAGAAGCTCCGTCATAGGTAAGAAAGCAATCTAATACACGTGACGGCGTGGGGAGAGTTTTGGTGTGCGCGACTGGACGCGTTGCCGCACGTCAATCAGCGCGACGCGCTCCGGGTGGGGCCTGGATGTTCCCCCCGGTCTGGGCCCGATCACTGCCTCTGCATCTCTCTTCAGCCTCGGCCTTGTTGACCTGTCTTTCGGATGCTGTAATTTTTAATCGTTTCCTAGTCCTTTGGTCCGTCTCCGCTATCTCTCTCACTTCGTTTCGACTGTAATCAGCTTCTCTTATCACGCCGAATTCTCTCCCGCGCGAAGCACTGAGCGCGCGCGTCGCGTATCACCACACCCATCTACATGCGCCTGACATTCGGCACATCTCTCTGTCCAACAAGTACTTTCACTGCCTTGGCTGAAGGCATGGATCAAATCGCAGACACCAGGTTCGCGTTTCCATGGACATTGTATCTCCATTAATGTCGCTAATCACCAAGCAACACAGCCAGCGGTCTGGACCCGATTCTACAAGAACAACAGCCAACAAGAGGTATGAGACCTGCTGCGAGTGTCGATATCAACCCAAACTGACGTCTTGCAGACGAACCCTCAAAACTTACAGCAAACGCACGCGCGCCGCTGATGAAGAAGTCGGCTCTCTCCTGTTCAAGAAGCGCAAACCCGAGATCGAACCAGCAACGCGGACGCCAGACCTCCCACGGCTTCCTCCCGCTCAATCTGCACCGCCACCAAGCAGTATACCCAAGAGTTCGATCCTAAGCTACTTCAAACCCTGCCGATCAAGCTCGGCCACTGAAGCCTCCGACCCCTTGTCCGACTCGGAAAAGCTGGTCAACACCCCGCCTTCATCACCTCCCGTTTTCAGAAAGATCAAGGAACCCCGTCGTCTGAGGCTACGACACAGCACGCCACTGTCACATTCGTCGGACCCTTTGGAGGGTGAGAAGGACGAGATTGAAGAAAGTTGTATTGTTGTCGGACGGAAACCACGCCACGCTCGCAGGACGAGGGCACGAGGCGCCCCAGAGCTGCAAGATGCCGACGAAAACAAACTGAACGAGCTTCCCGACCTCGGAAAGATCGAAAACCAGGCTAGGCCGAAGAAACCTCCCTCCCGATCAAAGCCTGTTCCGACTGTTCAGACGACCATCAATCTCTCGTCGAAACCTACTTTTATGGAGTGTAAGACATGCCGGATCGTGTACAACCCGCTGCACCCGGCAGACGTAAAATACCACGCTCAACGGCATGCAGCCTTCCTTCGGGGCAGGTCGAAGAAAGCATGAAACTTGGCGCAACGTCTCTGGCATAGCATCTGTTTTAACATAATGACTCAGTGATACCCATTTAGCAACAATAAGAATATCCTTTGCATTTCGTCCATCGTCAGGGTGTTCATGAAGCATGAGATAGCTAAACTAAGTGAGTGGCAAGAAAGATAATAGGAACAAAATGAGCGACAACAAATGAGTGAGTATCATGCTCCAGCAATCCAACCCGAGCCTTCCATATTCCACTCTGCTGCCCAGTTTCAGATTCCGACTCCAGCAAGCGAGTCCCGTCCTTCACAGAAATCGATGCGCCAACATTCTCTCTTCACAATCCTTCTCGACCAAAGCCAACTGCATCCGAATCACGGTCGATCCGGAACTAATTGCGTTCTCGAGCTCCTTAACCGATGCGACCAGCCAAGAAGATAGGGGCGGCAACAGCCGCGTCAGTCTGGTAGAGGAAGTGCGCGGGCAGGATGAAGAGCGTGCCTGGACGTGTTAGTGGCTTCTCTGACGTCTTTGAGGATGGGAAGCAGGCTTGCTTACCGTAGCAGACGGCATCCGCGACATCGCAGTAGACGGACAGCTTGGACGAGGGGAAGTTGGGGATGCGGCCGAGGTTCTGGAGGTTCTTGGTGTAGCCGAACAAGACGACGCCCTTGATCTGGTTTTGGATCGTCGAGCTCAGAGCTGAGATGGACGAGGCCATGACGGCGGTTCCCTGGCTGTTCATCGAGCCACATTAGCAGAGGACAAAGGGGAAAGGGGAAGCCGTCTGTAAGATCTGACTAACCTGTATCCGCCGGCTACAACGGCGGAGTTGGGGCACTTGGTGTTGGCCAAAGTGAAGAGCCTCTTGGCCTCATTAATGGCGACGGTGCTGGTTCCCTCGGGGAGGAAGTTGGAAGCCAGGTCGGCGCTGTACGGTCCGCCGACGCCCTGAACCCAGACTTGGCTCGATCCGTAGCGGCTCTTGAGGGCATCGCCGACAATGGGGCCAGCGCTGATTCCCTGTTTATGGATCGAGGTTAGGTTTTGGGAAAGGCCTTTTTCACTAGCTCACGTGAAAGAAGTTTGGTCGGCTTACCATGTTGCCGGGCTCGGTGGAGGCGCGGGCAAAGATGAAGATAACCTTGGGGCAGGCGGAGCTGCTGCCGGACTCGAGCTCGTTGCTGGTTGCTCCCGTCTGGCGGACCTGGAGGTCAGCGACGCCGGTGTCGACGACTTCGACTGGTGCCGCGGCGGCGAGGGTGACGGCGAGGGAGAGGATGCTGAAGAACTTCATTTTGGATGTTGTTTTGAGTCCGGAAATTGGGAACGGTCTTCAAGTGAGAGCGGGCTGGCTACTAGGCTTTGAGCGAAGGAGAGGAGGATTCAGGTTCTGAGCGAGAGCTTGAGTCTGATGAAACGAAGATATCAAGAGTCTACCGGTGGGATCTTGCTCGACTATTTATCTTGTTTTCGAAGTTGGTGTTCCCTGATGGATCATCTACAGCTTGAACATCCTCAATGCTAAGAGAATGTGCCCAATCCATGTCTCACAACTCACACGCCTGGCCGGTCTTGTTCGTGAAGCACATCCAGAAGTCGGCGCTACCTTTCCCCCAACCGGGCTCGATGAATGATCACATCGTGGAGACGGTGACGGTCGTTGGATTCATCCGCCAGTCGCATCTTGAATCTCAAAGCCATTTTCCCCACGTCGGAGAAGTTCAGGACATGGAGTCGGCGAAGCTAGATGCGTTCAAGAATTCCAAGGAACAGCGATGCCACGTGAGAGCTGGCTGAGCTGCCATTTCGCGACAGGACATCGAATTGGGAATGGCTCGGAGGAACCTCCGCGAGTCTGTTTGGTTGCAGCAGAGTGCGAGAAACCTCGGGACAAGACTTGGATGACTTGTAGAGAGGCCATAGAGGTGATGTTGGAATGAGGGGAGGGGGGGATATGCCCGCTTACGATGCCCCTCGAATTAGCCCCCATCGTCCTATGGTCCTAGGGATGTGTCTGTTGGTGAGCACAACTCGACTATGTGTCTCGTCCAACAAGAAACGGCCATGTCCCCCTTTACCAAAAGTTTCCGCGCTTGGTATAGTTCGAGAGCCTTATTGGAGACTCAATGGATAGGAGGTTACCACTTTACCAATCTGTCGCAGAATCTACTCCACTCTCTCCAAAAGGGTTCTCTTGGTTATGCACGATCCAAGCTCTGGAGTAACAAGACACACTGACCCAAGCCGGTAGAGAGCTGCAATCTCGAAGTGCCCCCCGCAGCACCCCGCAACGCCTCACTTGGTGACAACGTTGGATGCCTCGGCTCTGAGAGGCCGGACTAGGTCGCTTCGGGCGACGCATACATGGGGAGTCAGATTGAGTGCAGCATAGTCAGAGTTGCAAAGCCGACGACTCAGGTCAATGGTAGGTTCTTATTGGTTTGCCCATCGAGGGCCAAGAGAAACAGCCAAGCTGAGCGACCGTTGGAGTCGTGCAGCCTGCATGCGCAAACCGGCCGGTACTTGGGGGGGTATGTAAGCACAACAGGTGGGTTGTCTGGGGGTGGAGGAGGGGAGGCGCACGCCAGGTTTCTGCAATGCAAGTCGAGTGGGTAGACATGGATGACCAGATGAACTGGAGCTATCCCCTATTGTGTAAACTTTGCGAAATCTGTCTCAACTTTTTTTTTCTGTCTTGCGACTCATCGGGCAAAAAACGTGATGCCAAGGGTTCTGGCTTGACAGCGGAGCTAGCCGATCTGAAGTTTGTCCATCACTTGTCAGACTGTCTGATGTGTCAATCGATGAGTTCAGAGATAGCCGCGCCGGGCGATCCGTACGCAGGCCGAGTTGGCGCATCAACGGGATTTGTGGTATTTTCTAATAGTCTTACCATGATCTGAAACTTTAGTATCCGCCCTGATGGGAAATTGGGAGGCTAGACTATTGCCGTTGTTCGCACTGGAATGGTCTGGACAACGGTCCTGTGTCTGACCGAGGTCCAACAGAGGGGGCTTTATGCGAGGTGGATCGGTCTCCCCCCTTCAATCTGTTGTAATAGAAGTCCGCCTTTACTCGTTCATTCCTCTCTGGAATAATGGGTAAGAATGATTCGTATTCTTGAGAGAGTTCGGTGCTTCCAGTTTCAGGTGTTATCTTGACTCCACCAGACAAATGATGTATTAATCGAGTGTTACAAAGACAGGCGCTTTTGTTTCTTTCGACAGCTTGTTCGAGAGAACTTCAAGACTTCTCAAAAGCAGGATTACTATTCAGCTATGATTTCGACTAAATCCACTGCGTGACAAGTCTTTGAATTGCATGACTACCACATCGGACTTAAGACGAAGTTCAGCAGCGAACGTCAAGTACAGCACTGTGAAATGGGATTGGCAATCCCTGATTACCTATCTGTCAAGGTACAGTTCCTAGCAAGATGCTTTGCCCCTTCCTGCAACATACATCATCGAAAGGCCAGATTTCCAGCCGTATCACAAGCCAATAATCTGTTTTCTGGCGTGAAGCGTTGACGAATCTCAGTCCATGTTGACGAGAAGCCAGAAAATCCTCCGCTGATAACTTTGTGAAGCGCGTCCAAGAGACCTCGGATTTCACATGCTCCGATGATAAGAGAGTCTTTTGGCCAGGTTGATGCTTCTTCAGATCTACGGAAAAAAGAGCTACGCGGATGTCCTTGTTCGCCAAGAACGCACATGTTCAGATGAAGGCATTGAGGCGTCCATGAACTTAAATATAACTGTGACTCCAAAGTTCTATTCTCCTGTGGTATGATTGCGCATTGTATTATGCAGAAAGTTCAGAATTCATTAAAAAAAAGCATAAGTCTTATTCAGAGATCGAGCCGAAGAGAAGGCCTATTGAGAAATCCAACAGCACAATGCTTAGCATACCCAACCGCCATCAACATTGTATACAGCTCCTGTGACAAAAGAAGCCTCATCGCTAAGAAGAAACGCGATAACGCGTGCAATCTCGATGGGCTCTGCTCTTCTCTTCTGTGCGGTTACCTGTAAACCACGCTTCACATCTTCTGGATTTTCTCCACGAGACAGTGGCGTGTTGACAGAGCCTGTAGAACATCATTAGCTTGGTTCTGTACTGTCGCCAGTTTGCGACTTTTTTGAAGCAGATGATTTCGTAGAGGGGGGGGGGGGGGAGCAGCAGGGAAGGAGCGACTTACCAGGTGATACGCAATTCACGCGAATGTTTTGATTTTCCTTGGCTGCTGTTCTTGACAACCCAATTACGGCTGCCTTGCTGGCGCAGTATGCGGCGTTGCCAGGAGCTCCGAATTGACCAAACACACTCGCTGCAGATACCTGCGATGGAAAAGCATCATATCAGCTTCTGAAATACTTGTAGCCAAAGGATGTAGCTCGAACGGCCTGACAGCCGGTCTAGAAGTCGAATAGAGAGAAGAGACTTACGATGCTGCCTCCGTCAGACATCGCTCCTAGTTGTGACCTCAGGCAGTTGAAGACGCCTTTGGCATTGACTTCAAAGACAAAATCCCAGTCCTTGTCTGTAAGCTCTGCAACAGGTGTGGCATGGGTAATTACACCAGCCATGTTGACAGCACCGTCTAGCTTGCCAAACTTTTTCACCGTATTTTGAATCCAGGTGTTAACGACATCACCTTTCCTTACATCGACTACTTCGTACATGTGGCTTGCACTATCTTCGAGAGACGAGATTGCCTCCTTGAGAGAGTCCTCGTTGATGTCCGCCAATGAAACCTTAGCGCCGCGGGAGGCTAGGAGCTGGGCCGTTGACAGGCCCATGCCGGAGCCGGCGCCGGTGATAGCGATCTACGCGAGGGTTACATGAGCATGATATCCAAGAAAGTGGGTAGTTTGCCCGACTTACAACTTTGCCTTGGAATGAAGACATGGTGTGGTCGGACTTAGTGTTTGCGTGAAGTAAACTTGTGCCAGGGTACGATGATGAGAAGCTGGTTTCTATGAACAAGTATGCTTGACGCCTCCCTTTGTGCCTCTAATTAAGTAGAGGTACCGGTCCGCGGCATAGGTAGTGACAGTCAAACTCATAGGCAAGTAACCGAGCGGAAATCGTTTCTGTTGAAGAAGCGCGGGGTATCTTGGGGAGAACTTACACGGAATATGTTGGCCCAGAATAGGAAAGTTATCCCCTTGCAGGAGTGGCAAAGACCCCACCAAAAGGGGTAAGTCGAATATCATCTGCTCGACAGCACATCCAGCCACATACCCTCCATCATCTGCAAGACTGCAACCTACTTACACACAATATCACTCTAGATTTGAAAACGGAAGATGTAGGACAGCCAGTCATATGCATTTTACGATATCAAAATGGCCTCGGTGGCGCCGCCGCTATCTACACATTCCTTCTCGGCCCACCGTCTCTCGACATCCGCGAGAGAATCGCTGAAGATACGAAGACCGCTCCGACGCGCCCAGTCCCTGAAAAACTGTGCAAACGATTCCCGCACCTCTGGGTCATCTGCCTCGCTCGCCGCAATCACTGCAGGCCACACCAGCCTGGCTGACCCGTACCCCATCTCAGACTCGGTTGCCTCGAACCGCAGCAAACAATCCCGAACACCGACAACCTTATCCTGTAACATGTCCGCCTCCACGTCGTACACCCTCCGATAGAAGAATATGGTCAAGGCAAGCAGCATGGCCTGGGAGAGATTATCTAGAAATTGCTGGCAGTGCTGCATCTCCGGGTCCGAGGTGGGCAAGTCTGCTATCACGTATCCGGGCTGCCGTCTGAGTTGGTGGATACGTCTCTCGACTGCCTTGGCGCGGAACATGAACTCCTTCAGACCTGCGGGACTCGAGTACTCTGGATCTTCTTTTGACCGAGCCAGCCGGATAACGAGCGAAAGGAGAAATATGTAGATCTCTGGGATACCAAAGATTTCGGGATACAGTGTTGCGAGCCAGACACCCGGGATCTGGAGATGGAGATCGTTCTCCCCTTCTTCCCGCCCCTTGACCTTGAGCATTTCTTGGTCGAGGTTGCTCCAGCTCGCCAGCTGAAATGACAGGCTGTCTATGCTATAGGCACTCGCATTGCTGGTCTCAATTACCTTGCGCACATGGAGACGGTGAGGAGACTGCGTGCTCCCCGGGAACGTGGTCTCGTGCAAGACCCGCTCGAACGCGTAGCAGTGATGCAGTAATCGGACCTTGCGCGACTTTTTCCTGTTGAGCCCCTTGACGCGTATGAACTTTTCCGCCTCTAGAAGATAGCACTCCACTTGGTCACGGCTGCCGGAGACGCTCGAGATTTGCACCATTGTCAGAAAAGCAATCAGTATCGACTTGTACTTTGCCTTTTTGGGTACATCGTAGGCTGTCTGTAGCATGAGCCGGACGTGATGGCGAGCGCGCTGCTTGTAGTTGTTTGCCTGTTCGGACCACTTGCGCGAGTTAGAGATGCCACCAAGGCTGGAGGCGCTGATGGCGAGCGTGCCGTAGAATGCCGTTAGGCTAGCGTGGTCCATGTCGTCTCCGAGTGTCAGTGCTGCTAGACAACTTTTGACGTATGGTATGAATAGGATATGCCATGGCGTTTTGCTGTGGCGGAAGGGCGTGAAGCCTCGGAGGACTGTTGTAGAGTAGTGTCTCAGAAGGAAGACCGCATCGTGAGGAACGGCGTAGTCGATTGCGGGGGCAATAGAGCAGTTTTCTGGCGTTGAAAGCTGCTGAGACTGAGTGTCTGCAAACATGCTCGGTATGCATACTTGAACATCCTGAGAGGCGACATGGATTGGTACCCTCGGATATTGTTCCATGCCGGAGAAAGAGACATTATCGGATATATCGCGTACGCGATCTAGTTCCACAGGCGTGTCCCACCAATTGCTCGCGTCTGGGAGATCACCCATATTCCACCATTCGTTCGTGTTCCACCACTCAGTAAGAGGGCTCAATGGACGATGGTCCAAGCAGGCAAGAGCAGGCCCAAGTAACGGCGTCGTTTCTTGAGCCGGAGAACCGTCTGGTGGATTCATGAGCTCTTCGTCTGCCTCCTCAGGACTGTCCTCCCCGATCTCTTTCGCAGCCTTTGGAGGGCTGCCGACTGTGGGATTATTTGACTCTGGACTCGATTCGGGCGCAGCCTTTGAAGATTCCATTGACAGTCGATGTACTCTAAAGGCCCCGAAGGGACCTCGACTGATTTGAACGCTTTGGGATAGCGGTGCCCTCTCGCATTCGTCCTCAATTTGGGCAATATGCCAAAGAGTCAACGCCGGAGGAATGCTGGAGACGAGTTCGTCACTCATTGACTCGCGTTCGGATTCCGTCAACAAGGGTCTCCGAAAGCGCGCCATTCCGACGCTCGGAATCTCCTCAAAGTCGAAAAAGATATTCTTCTCATAGCCGCTGCATGTGAGGTTGGAGGCCCTACACATGGAGCATGTCGGCCGACCCTCGTCACACTTCATCCGGCGGTTTCGACACTGAAGCAAGTCAGCGCCTTGATTCCAGTCTACAGTCTATCCAGACTTCACAGGTTCACCAGCGTGATGGGTGGGATGACGTACAGTTCCACATCCGCCAAAGGACCGACTGCGCCGGGCGTCCGCATCCTTGGGCAAAGACAGCCGGGGTTTGTTGGCATCGGCCATTCCGGGTGAGCCAGAGTTGGCTCGGGATTCCACTTCCTGTTTGGTTTATGGGAGGACGTCAGGAGGGTTTGGCGCACGTTGAACGTTTGCGATATCAACTGCTGATACTCTGGACTCCGCAAATGGATATGGAAAGTTATATCAAGGGGCTGAGGGCAACATATTTAGCCAAGGGTTGTACCAACACGACGGGATTGATGTCCGCGGAGAGATACGAATAGTGCGCAACAGAATGCATAACGCGGCTTTAGCGCATCCGTTGGAGCGGGGGCCTTTGATAAGAGCGGGGGGAATAGCGAACGACCCGGTGACCCCATAGTAAACCTGGGGTACATGTTTTGGCGTCTGATAGCTGGGAAAGCTTTCCTATCTGACTGGAGACCACTACACTTGGTATCTTCGCCAAGTCGCCTAATGCCCCGGATGGGTTAGGAACAGGGACGGCTGGAACTTATCTCCATCCATGCTTTTCCAAGACTTGCAATGTCTTCCGTCCAGAGTACAACGAGCTGAGTCGGCACTAAGTAGTATCGGTGCCGGTCTCCCTTGTCAGCCCAGACAAGGTTCACCTTAAGGGCCCCGGAACAGGATTCGGTGTACGTGGTCGTAATGTGTAGTTTAAAAGACAAGAGAATGCCCTCATTCAATGCAAGAGTCAACTTAGGTTGAAAGAAACTCTGTACTCAACTACCTTACCTACACTGGTTTCACAACCAAACAACTCCTTCAGTTGCCTCGAATGCATAATTGAATTAACCTTACCGAATCCCTATCGTCGACCCAGTCTACAATGGCTCTAGACAACGACACGGCAACCCCCTTTTCGAAGGAGGGCATTTACGCGGACACTGCCAACGATGGCAAAACGCACGACTCAGACCTCGGCCGACTCGAAAGCAATACCTACGGCGAGACTCATCTCGTCGCCCAGGGTGGCACGAAGCGAAATGTCAAGTCGCGACACGCCCAGATGATTGCCATTGGTGGCAGCATTGGAACTGGTCTCTTCGTAGGATCCGGCCAGGTCCTGGCTGCTGGCGGACCGGCGTTTCTCTTCCTAGCCTATGCCCTCACTTCTCTCCTCGTCTACGGCATAGTCACGGCTGTGATGGAAGTAGGCACATTCCTCCCCATCTCGGGTAGTTCCATGTCGTACTACTGCAACCGCTACACTTCTCGATCCCTTGGATTCGCTCTTGGTTGGCTCTATGTGTATTCTTTTGGCATCATTCTCGCCTACGAAATCACAGTTGGTTCAGTCATCATCAACTACTGGCCAAACAACGTCCACAATGCTGTCTGGCTGACGATCCTCCTTGTTGTCGTCGTCGGACTCAACCTATCACCAGTTGCTGTTTACGCAGAGACCGAATTCTGGTTTGCAAGTCTGAAGATCATTCTCTTCATCGGTCTTCTGCTTCTCTCAGTGGTTCTGATCCTTGGTGGAGGGCCGAGCGGAGAACGGCTGGGTTTCTACTACTGGGTTGACCCAGGTGCGACCAAGGAGTACATCATCACAGGCTCTGGTGGTCGCTTTACTGCCTTCCTTTATGGTTGGGTGTTTTCCGGCTTCTCGTTCTACTTCAGCCCAGAGCTTATCATCGTCATGGGCGGCGAGATGCGAAACCCGCGCAAGAACCTGCCCATTGCCAGCCGACGGTTCTTCTACAGACTCATCATTTTCTACCTCCTCGGCTCGTTGGCGATTGGAGCCATCTGCAACTCCAACTCCGAGGGCCTTGTGTCCGGTGCTGGTAATGCTAATGCGTCACCTTGGGTTATTGCAATCCGCAACGCCGGGATCAATGGTTTACCCACAGTCGTCAACGCCGGTATTCTCACGAGCGCCTGGAGTGCTGGAAACTCATACCTTTACATGGCCAGTAGATCCCTGTACTCTCTTGCAGTTGCCGGCAACGCACCCAAAATCTTTACACGCTGCAACAGCTACGGTCTTCCCATTTACGCCGTCCTTGCATCGAGTTGCTTCACTCTTCTCGCGTATCTGAGCGTCTCCTCAGATGCTGGCGTGGTCTTCAACTGGTTCGTTAGTCTGACAAACACCGCTGGATACACCTCTTGGGTGCTGTGCGCATTCATTTTCCTTCGTTTCCGCAAGGCCTGCCAAGCGCAGGGCGTCAAGGTCCCTTACCAGTCCTGGTGTCAGCCCTACGGAGCGTGGATCTCCATGATTGCATTCGGCTTCCTCCTCTTCGCCAATGGATTCACGGTGTTCTACCCCGGAAGATTCTCTGCATCTAGCTTCTTGACTGCGTATATTGGCATTCCGCTTTTCCTGGTTACATACTTTGGACACAAGCTCACGGTTGGAAGAAAGGATCCCTGGCTGTATGCTCCTGAAGATGTTGACTTGTCTACCAATTTGCGGGAGGTAGAAGCAGAGGCGGAAATGTGGACGGCCATGGATGAGGCTGAGAAGGAGAAGCAAGGCAATTCAAACGCGTGGTGGCGCAAGATTTCTCTGATTTGGCAATGATTGTCAATTGCAGGTGTTGATATACATATAGTATAGCTTAGGCACAGTATGGAATACATCAATTCGAATTGAAGCACTATTGTGGTTAGAAACGCAATGAATGGGCTCTAATGATGGACTCCGTGCTTGCTCGAAGTTGCGTCCATATGAATTGACTGGACTATGTGCCTCCCGGAACCTTTTGCAGTCTTGGTATGGGATGCCAATTTACATCGTATTCTTGATGTTCATACGATATCATGAACCCCAATCTCAGCTGCGACTCCATAGTGTTGAAGTGTGACAAATTGATTGCTCAGTACCGCACTCACACGCCCTATCGGCGGCAGCTCGGAAAGCGCTCAGCTGCATCATATGACCTTTAGATAGACGGACAGCTTGACATCTCGATGATTCGACGCTCTTGGGTGCTTGAGAATGCTGTATAGTTTGACTAGGGTTCCTTTAGGGAAGGGTTCCCCTTGGAGCTAGCCTATGACTTGGCCGATGCGGGGGAGGGGCCCGATAAGCGAACTTTGGTCAACACCACACAAATCCAGAGTTGGCAAGTCATCCCCGATTTGGGGCCGCCACCTCAGATAAGCCCCACATGGGATCGGCTGATGTTTGACGTGAACAAGTTGGGCGGATAATGCTGTGATAGATGGGACGGGAAAGTTGTGCAGATACTTTCTCAGCGGAATTCTATTTGCTAAGGGAAATGCCTTGTGTCAAGGGCGAGTCGTTGGCTATTTAGACATCTCACAGACTTCGAAGAATAAGATCTTAATGTGGCACAAGAAGCATTTCATCAAGCATTCCTATCAAGACTTGAATAGTACAGACAAATCTCAAAATCAAACTTGATTCTTTTCAGTCTGTTTCTTGAAACCACCCCGAAAATCATGGGCTCTATTCCGACCCCTGTGAAAGAGACGTATGATGTCCTCATCATTGGCTCAGGCCTATCCGGCCTTGCTAGTCTGCACCACATTCGGGAGCAAATGCCCGATTGCAGGGTAAAGGTCCTCGACAACGGTGCAGACGTCGGTGGAACGTGGTTCTGGAATCGCTACCCCGGATGCCGGTTCGACTGCGAGTCTGTGTCCTATAGCTACTCCTTTGACAAGGGTCTCTTGGAGGAATGGCACTGGAAGGAGGCCTTCTCCCCTCAGCCCGAGACACACAAGTATATCAAGCGCTTCGCAGAGAGGAACGACCTCTACAAACATATTCAGTTCAACACCACGGTCAAATCAGCTCGCTGGGACGACAATGCCCATAACTGGACATTTGTCGACCAGGACGGCAACCAATACATCACCACTTTCTTCCTCAGCTGTATCGGCTTCCTTTCGACACCATCACTACCAGCTATCCCCGGCATTGAGAATTTCAAGGGCACGTCTTTCCACACATCGCGGTGGCCGACAGACTTGAACCTTGCCCGCGATTTTGCTGGCAAGCGTATCGGCGTTGTCGGGACCGGTGCCACCGGCATCCAGACTATCACCGCACTGTCAAAAGAGCCAAGCATCAAGTCCATCAGCGTATTCCAAAGAACGGCAACATGGACCGTCCCCTTGCGCAACTACGAGATTTCGCCAGAGAAAATGGAAGAGCTCAAGAAAGACTATGATAACATTTTCGGCATCTGCCGCTCTACACCCTCAGGTTTCATGCACATGGCGGACCCACGCAAGTCCATGGAGGTTACGGCAGAAGAGCGCCTGGCCCTTTGGGAGAAACTATACAACGAGCCGGGCTTCGGCAAGTGGCAGGGTCTCTTTAGCGACACATATACGGATCGCCAAGCCAATGAGCTGTATTCCAACTTCATCGCAGACAAGATTAGGGGAAGAGTACACGACCCGGAGGTGGCCGAGTCTCTGATCCCTAAGACGCACGGTTTTGGTACCCGTCGTGTGCCGTTGGAGAGCGGCTACTTCGAGGCCTTCAACCAAGACAACGTGCACCTCGTTGACCTCAAGAAGGCCCCGGTCTCTGAGGTGAAATCTGACCGCATAATCACATCCGACGGCAAGGAGCACGAGCTCGACATCCTGATCTACGCCACTGGTTTCGATGCCATTACAGGCTCCTTCAGCGCAATCGAGTGGCAAGGCAAAGATGGACGGCCACTGATTGCACCGAGTGGAACACCCAAAGGCGAGCGAGCCGTTTGGGTCGATAACAGACCCTACACGTTCCTCGGCATGACGGTACCCTCTATGCCCAACATGTTTATGGTTCTCGGCCCGCATCAGCCGTTTGGCAACGCGACCAGAAACATTGAGCACGCCGTACAGGTTGTTGTGGATTTGTTGAAGTTTTGCCGTGATAGGGGATACACGTATGCGGAGGCAACACAGGAGGCCGCGGACGGCTGGACAGAGCATGTGTTCGAGTGCAGCAAGGGATCACTTGTTAACGAGGTTGACAGTTGGATGACGGGTGTCAACACGAACATTAAGGGCAAGCAGGTTAGAAGCGTTGTCAGATATGGTGGATCTGCGCAGGAGTTCCAGAGACGGTGCAGGGAGGTTAAAGAGTCTGGTTACCAGGGGCTTACGTTTGCCAGGCAGGCTAAGGGTGTCAAGTTGTAGATTTTAGATTATCCATGTCAATTACAAAATTTGGTTCGCATTAACTTTACCAAAATCCTCTAGTGCAAGTAATGCGTCGCCCAAGTTACAAGTCTCAAGTTTATCTTTTGTATCTCACTCTCGTGTGGATTCTATTGTTTTGGAGAAGTCTCGATTAAGCTTGCATGCTAGTCTGAAAACGATGCAATATGCTCGTTAATTGAGCCGAGGTTAAGCATAGCACAGCTCAGTCGTTCTTAGAAGGACCTGACCAAGACGGAACACCAAGAAACATATGGTCTAGACATAGATTCCTAATCGAAATAGAATGATTGCTACAATATGTCACAGTTGGATGCCAAAACCTTTGGTCATCTGCAAACAAGGAGAAGCCTATCATCACAACGCGGTGCCGCTAGGACGAAGGCTATGACCTCACCCACGTTGTATCAACTACCTTATCAAACGTACTTAGCAAACATTAGCCATAGAGGCAGCATGACTTTGATTAATCGAAATATTAGATGTGAGCATTCATTGACTAACATCGGCGCGGAACACGATATGCGTGATGTCCGACATCGGGTCCCTACACTAACACCAAGGACCTGTTGATAGGGCGCATGCGGCCAAAAGCTGATGTGACTATCGCCGCGGGGTAAAACACGTCTCTATCTCTCTTCAACCCCGCCAGCAGCCAAAGGCTTGGCCCATAAAGAAGTATCACATTTAGTCTTTTGATAAGAGCAGCTGACGCACAAGATGATCGGCCAGCGCGGCTTCTCGGGATGACCCCTCAGACGCCGCGCACCGGGTGGGGGAGTTAGTCGCTGTAGGTGGAGTCAAGACACCCGAATCAAATGGGGAAAGTCATACCTGAGCGTCAATGGAAAGCCACGCCTGATACCTAAGAACACCGAATGCGCAACATCGCGATGATGGACTACTTATTGAGGATGCCATCAACGAACTGTGAGCACATCATCATAGACAATTTGCATGACATTAATCACCTTGAGCTTTCTCAACTACAATTACTAAACTTTTGATCAATTACTTCCTCCTCCAAACCTCTTTAATCACATAACATGGACGTCCCCGGCTTTGCTCTAGTTACAGGTGCAGCCTCTGGCATTGGTAGAGCATGTGCTCGCGGTTTCGCCCAAGAAGGCTCCGCGGGTATCGCATTACTAGATCTTAACGCAGACGCGCTCAAGACAGTCAAAGAGGAAATCGAAGCCGAGTTCGGAAAAGACCGCAAGATTGAGTTGCTCACCTACCCCATCAACATCGCCAACGAGGAGGAAGTCATCAAGGTCGTCAATGAAGCAGCAGCCAAGTTTGGCAGGCTGGACTATGTTGTCAACGCCGCCGGCATCGCCATCAAGCACAAGGGCGGCGCCGCGTTCGCCAAGACGGAAGACTGGCAGCGGGTTCTCGACGTGAACATCAACGGAACGTTTTACGTGCTGAGGGCGGCAGCGCAGATCATGCTGAAGCAAGAGCCGATTTTGTCAACAATTGACGGCAGACCTTTGCAAAAGGGGTCCATTGTCAACTTTGGCTCTATCCAGGGTGTTGTGGGCATCACACTCTCTACGGCATACACGACGACGAAGCACGCCGTCATCGGGTTGACGCGCACTGCATCCGAGGATTATGCCAACCAGGGCTTGCGCATCAATGCCATCTGCCCTGGGTACACAGAGACACCAATGACGACCAAGAACCCCGAGGTGTTGAAGGCGATGGAGGAGAGAGTCTCGACCGCGGTGCCGATGCAACGGATGGGAAGTCCAAAGGAGATTGCCGATGGTGTTTTGTACTTGGCTGGCGGCAGGAGTTCGTTTGTGACTGGGTCTGCGTTGATGGTTGATGGAGGTTATACTTCGAGATAGTCTGCTCCCATCGGCTTTGAAATGAAACTCCAACGTTTGGGATGAAGCTGAAAGTGGATTCAACAAACTGACTGAACTTTGCTGAATGTGACCTGAGCATAGGTAATGTACACGTAAACATACTTACTTACCCTAGGTATGGGACTTCTCAGCAAGGTGGGCATGGTTTCTAGACGCGAAGTTGCAATTTCAAAAAAGTAAGTGTCGCATGCACTAGAAAATCAAAGAATATCCAATGCCTAGGGAATGCAATCTTTGAAATTTGAAAGTAATGACATCCTTGCCTAGCGTTGACTCACTACTGCACCTCGTGGGAGCCTTCTGGCGTTAGGATATCCTAAACCCGCCCCGACTCCGAATAACAGCCCCGTGAGTTATGCAGACACGTCGGAGGCAGGCCGTTCCGGAAAAGCGGGTCTAATTCACATCTATGAATCTGCTGGTCCATGACTCGTTGAGTCGCACCGGTCAGTCTGGCCTTATTCATGCATCAAAACAGCCTACCTGCTGTAATCACTTTAGGATGAGCGCCATCTCG